AACAGAAAGAGGGCTGTGAAACAAAGGAAAAGGATAAGATGGTCGGTTGCTGTAGGCAACCATAACATTTAAGAACTTGCTCCCCACCCACCCATTTTAAAGATGGGAGAAATTTGAATGGAAGGCGATTATTATTGTAATTTAACTTTTGTCTTCAATTTATACTCCTGTGTGGTCCAGTTTGTTTCCTTATGTTGTTGGGTATTGAGACCACATCGAATTTGTGATGACTTTTTACAGTTCACACAGGTGCCACAGCTACAGCCTTAGCACTCGGCTGAGGCAGTGTTTGGTGTTGTCTTGGGGCTGGGGGCTGTGAGAAACATGGAAGAGGGGTTGGAGGGGTGTAGGACAATCTGGCAGGAACTGGATCTCCAGTCCAGAGTCAGCCAAGAAGAGAACAGCGGTGAGGGCCCTAGAGGGCTCCCGGTCACTTGGCTGTCACTAAGGAGAGCAGTCACCAGTGGCTTAGCTGGGCTCTGCAAAGCACGAGTCCTTCCGCCGTTACCCTTTCGCTCCTCCCCCTGCCCCCAGCAACTCTTGCTTTTCTGTGTCTCTTGCCACTGTGTGCCTTCCCTCCAGTGGGGCTACAATTCGTGTAACATGAAATTCACCATTTTAACCATTTTAAATTGTGTCATCCAGCGGCTTTTAGGGTATTCACAACACTGTACAACCATCCCCACTGTCTAATTCGAGAACATATTTTTTTTCCTGATCCCTTGAGCCTAGCATATGACTAGGGGGAGGGTAAACCTCATCAAAATAAAGGGAAGTTATCTAGGTGTGGTGTGGTACAGTGTATGCCTGTAATCCTAGCACCCTGGGAGGTTGAGGCAGTAGGATCACAAGTTCAAGCCCAACCTGGGCAACTTGGCAGTCTTGTCTCAAAAATTTTAAAAAAAAAGGTGGAGGGCTGTGGATGTAGCTCACTGCAGAGGCGCTGGGTTCAGTCTCCATAACTACACACACACACACACACACACACACACACACACACACACACACACGTTCCTAGGATAGCAGAGGTTTGGTAAGGAAATCCCCTCATTTTGGAGTCTTTTATAACTTTTTTCTTCCCTAAAAGCCATAAAATTAAAAAGAGGTGTTTTGCTCTATTGAGAGTCTTTCATTTATTATTCAGTAAACTTCCTTTCATTCATACCTCCATTTCCCACCTCTTCTAGGTCAGGGACTCAGGGCTGACAAGATGGAGGTGTGTAAGCAACCCAGGACATAAGGAGTGAACGTGTAGGTTCTCCTGCGATAGCCACGTAGCAGGGGCAACAGCTAGGAATCAAGCTGTGTCCAGTGTTAGGAGAGTGACTAAGACTCAGAGTTAGAGGATGCTTTAACATGATTAGACCTAAACAACACTAAAGATAAGGAACAATCCAACAAGTTGGTTTTGTGCATGTAGCAGCACGGAGGGTAAGGCCACTGGCAGAAATCTGATCTAAGAACAGACTGCATGGCTCAGAAACAAGAAACACAAAGAGCAATGCCAGGAACCTAAAGCGGGGAGAATTATAAAATGGGGCAGAAGTTGGAAAAAATTTCAGAGTATGATAGTGATAGCCTCAAAACAGAAACGATTAGTGGTGGGTGTGGTGGCGCACGCTTGTAATCCCAGCACTAGGGAGGCTGAGGCAGGAAGATCGATCGCTGTGAGTTTGAGACCAGCTTGGACTATATAGTGAGTTCCAGGTCAATCTCAACTACATAGTGAGACCCTGTCTCAAAAAACAAACAAACAAACAAACAAAACCGGAAATGATTAAAATGAAGTGAAACATTCATCTAAAAAGGAAAAAAAAAAGAGAGAGAGAGAGAGAGAGAGAGAGAGAAATCTTCCATGCCTTACTTACTAATCTTGTGCTGAAAGCATATTCTGGTAGATCAGAGGAAGGCAAGGCTGACGCTCCTGGTCAACATTTGCTGTCAGTAAGGGAGGTCAGTCCTGTGGCCACTTAGCATCACAGGGAGAGGACCGTGTGAGTGCTTCGGAATCATTCCCGGATGTGGGACTGCTCTGAGCTGACTGGGCAGGCACTTAGGGAAGACGAGGGTCTATAGAATGGGGCACACACGGCGGCCACCCCCTGCCAGCTCTGCCATCCTCATTCTGCCTGTATCTGTCAAATTGTAAAGCAGTGACACTCTTCTTAGTGAGGCCGCTTGTGCGGATCCTGACGGCCAACCCACACTTAGCAGAAAGCAGGTCCCAGCTGGCATCAGCGAATGAGGTGCAGATTTTGTCCTCCAGCAGAGGGCAACACCACCCAGAAATCAATCCTTAGGACTAATGGGAGAGCCACGGCCTTTTGTCAAATGAAAAATTTTCTGTATGACTGCATAATTATTGGTGCCACAAAATAAGTGATTTGTTCACAGAATTTTTTTTGTATTGATGGTAAACCCTAGCATAATTTAAACCCCGACAATTTAAAGCTTTATAATTTTAAATTCCTTGCGCCTTACTTTTATCTCCCTCCTCCAGTGTGGGTGTCCCTGTGCGTAGACGGGTCTTCCGGGTGCCCAGCGTGGCTTTGCCTCCTCTTCTCTTTTGTGTGCTATTTTGCTACTACAGCTAAACAAAATGCATCTTCCACAGAGACTCATCACAGGTGAAAACGGGAGTTGGTTGCATTGTCCTGGCAACTAGCTGGAGAGATCTCACTATTCTACCACCTCCAGGACCTCATCCTAAGCAGTTCAGTTTACAGTGGGGTCAACTTAGCATGGATTCCCAGGACAGGATGATGAGCAAAGGTCTTCAGTGTCAGTGGACTTAACTTTTATCAATTACTCAGTCAGTTTGTCATAAAGTAAGTTCCTTTTCATTCTCGCTGTTAAGTATTGACATGTTTATGCTGTTGCAGTACTTAATTTATTTTAAATTAACTGGAAGAAAAATTGGAGTTATTACACAACTGACTTATCCTTGTATTTCAGTTGAGAATTACTGTTTGATATTTCTGTATGCAACAGAGATCAAAGTCATCTTGCATTTAATCAAAGTTAGAGCCTGAGTGAACTTTAATTTTGAAAATCATTTGGTTAAATTTCTCTTTAATATTATGCTACTAATAATTTAAAATCCTCACAAAGGAAATGCCAATCAATCTGGATGTCAATATATGTGTAATAGTACACATGAAAAGAGCACATTTATATCAACTCTCCTATTTTATTATCATTATTATTATTTTGGTACGGGGAATCAAACTCGGTTTGCAAGGCAGGCGGCGGAATCACTGAGCTAAATCCCCGGTCCAAACAACTCTCTTATTTTAAAAGAATTATTTCCACCTCCTACTTTCCCTATGCAATTAGGATTTTTTAAAAAAGCCTACATACATGCTAAAAGCTTTCATAGTTACGCTGGCAGCTGAGGCAGCGATAAACCCAGAGGTGGAAATTATTAGTCATCAAGTCTCCGGCGATGACGGTGGCAGGTGGAGAGGAGGAAGTGGTGTGCTCTGAGCATAGCTTTCCTGTTGTTCTCAATTTAAAGACAAAGGAGCCCCCTCAATTCTTTTATTGGTTCACCTGAGTGTTGTCTTACTTGACATTTTTTATCTCCGTTCAGCTGACATGAGCAATAGCTGTGTTCCCGATAGATGTGATGATAGTTTCAGTTTAGTCAGTTTGGGGACTGGAATTTTGAGGCTGAAACGCGTGAACACGGCCCACAGAAGCAACACTGAGAGGGACCCATTTCCCCGGTCTAGCCCTCCAAAGCCTGCTTGGAAATGTGTGACACCTAGAATTTGAGTTTGATTAGAACCTAATTACCAATCTAGGCCCTGGGTTCCCATGAGGAAATTTTCATACCACTTTCCCCGCTTTTAAAACTGGAACATTAAGAATATTTTAAAGTTTGGATCATTTTGGCTGCTGCGTCCTCATATGGGAGAGAGTTGGAAGCCTGCATCTTCAGAAGCTGTCCCAAGCCACTGAGGGTGGCGATGGCTTTGAGCAGAGCTGGGCTTCTGGTGAGGCGGGGGGAGCATAGGCCAGGGAAGGAGCAGGCTGAGGAAGGGAGGAATAGTGTCTCCCTCCTGCCTGCGTCTGGGCGGTCACAGACTGAGCTGGCTGGAGTGGGCCGGAGGTCTGCCTGGGTGGAGAGGGGAGGCAGGGTCTTTGTGGAGGTGCCTGGCACGTCAGATAGCCACAGGGAGGACATCGTCAGTCTGGGCACCCTTCCTTCCATCTCCAGGGTGGCAGGATACACAGAAGGATGCCCATAAGAATTCCAGGGCTGGTACCAAGCTGATCACACCTTTTAAGTTCCATTTCCCTCATATGTCCAAATTGAATGCACAAAGTTCTTTCAGATTTTCCCAAAGTACATTCTAGTGGCTAAGAAGTGAGAACGGCACCAGTAGCTTAATAGACTGTAATACATCAAATCAAACTCGTGGGCAACTAGAGCGCCTCCGATCAAGTTCTGTACAGAGCCTGGATCCTGACTGATGCTGTTAAACACACATTAAACAAATGCCTTACTGAACACCAGTTGGCTGGAGAATCTATATTTTAGGCATCCACATTTTATTACCGGCTGTTACTTTTTAAATATATTTGGCAAAAAAGTGTGATATTTGCCTGATAAATCCGACCAGGTGGGATTACCCCTGGCTGGGAAGTGATGTGTAGGTTTCTGTAGCAGCGTTTGCCCTTTTGAGTTTACATTTGGCAGGGACGCTGACTTCATGCATTAGCATACGTACTGGTGGTTAATGAAAACCATAATTGCTAGCAGAAAATACGTTGTGGTTTAGCAAATAATTTTCTTTTGAATTAATCCTAATCCTTCTGCTGTACCTAGTCAGTTCTCAGGGATGAAGCACTCCACCTTTTACAAAAGAAGAAAGGGTAAAGACTAAAGTAACTTTTAAAAATTCTGGCTAACAAAAGGGCATTTTGAGTAGTATTCTTTGTCAAGTACCATTCCCGTGATACTTATTAACCCCCGATTCTTTGTTCTGCCCTCCCAGTAACTATCAACTTTTGTTCTACTTTTGAAAATACTGAAGCAAATGACACTGTCGACAGGGTATACGATTTGGAATAAAAGGATGACACGTGTGGTCTCCAGCATCTGTCCACATAGTACCAGCGTCCTTTTACTCACCTAAGCACCTGATAACAAAAACAGTAACAAAGAGACAAAACGGGGTATCTGCTCACTGCTGTCTTCTGCTAGGCTGTGCATGTCACTGGTCAACAAGGTGCTTGTGTGTGACGATGTACCTACAACTGGAGCCGTCAACAGTCTTGCGTCCCACTGAAATCTTCAGCAGTACTTGAAAGGATCATTTTATTTTCATCATGACAGGAATCCACCCTGACTGTAGCCTTTGGCCCTTATGGAAGTCTATAAAATATTCTTTCCCAATTCCACATTCAAATATTAAATTAAATCAGATGTGCAAAAAGGAACAAATTGATCTCCCACCAAAACAGAAAGTACCCCTCCACAAAACCACCAGCCTTGGAGGAAAACAATGCCCACCATTCCACGTCCTCAATCTCAAACTCTTACAAAGAACAGGTTCACATTCCTGCTTGGCTGTGGCTGCTCCGCTGTGCAAGAGGCCCATGCCTGGAGAACCGGGGCCTAGAAGTGCAAGCGGTGGTCAGGGTGGTCAGCTCGCCCCCGCCTGGGCCACTCCACCTCCACCCACCTGCGCAGCACCTTCTCCACGTCGGCGCGGTGGTAGAGACGGCACAGCTCCATCAACTGGCCCACCGTCCTCTGGCTGTTGCGCAGCAGAAACTCTAAGGTGGGGCTCTGGGGCCTCTGCTCCAGGAAGCACAGTTCGTCATAGGGCATGCCCCATTTGCTTGCAAAATTCCGCCAGTTTTTCACTGTTGGGTGGCACGGATCTAGCTTTATCCTGATCACATCTAACAAGTCCTGATCATTGAGTAAGTCACTGATGGTGGGGGCCCGCAGTGAGCAGGAGGAACAAGCACAGTCTTCTTTGCAGGGATGGTCCTTGCTGACACCTGCAGGAAGAAACAGAGTCTACAGGTCAGCCGAGGCCTCACCTACACATTCATGGCTGAGGTCCTCATTTTCCTGCTGAATTACCAATAGCACCAAAGCGCCTTAGAGTGGAAGAGTTCAAAATACTCATTGCTCAGTACTCACGCAAATAATTTTTTTTATAACTGGGAGAATTAGTAAGATTTTATATTTCTGTCCAAGACACTCTGCTGGCTAAAATGAGGGCTCGGGGGGCTGGGGACAGATCACAGTCCAGTGGACGTGGCCTGGTGAGGGGCCAGACTGGCTTGTGTGCACTCAACCCATGCCCCTTAACAGCAGTCAACCACCAAACCCGGCATGCTAGGTGCAATGGATTCTTTAAAAGTTCTTGAAAAAAAATCCCAAAACTGGAACATTCACTCCATATGCATATTTGAAAATAAGTAGTAATTGATAGTGGAGAACACTTACTTTTTAAATTTATGGCTGCCCTATCTTCCCTATGCCTTTATCTCTGTTTTCTTCACCTGTGGGGCTTGCTCTGAAGTGCAGCCAATGGCCTCAGGTGCACAGCGAGGTGCAGACAGGTGGAGGCCCACAGCAGGCTCTGAGCTGTCCGGGGACCCCCACAGGGAGACGCCCTCTTCCCTTCAGGGTCCTTAGCCTCATTTGTTACCAGCAGGCGGGGAGTGGGTAAGAGGCTGTTGGCAAGGCATTTGTAATGAAGTGGCGTCTGCGTAACATGGCAAAGTGAGCAGCTTAAATTCTGCAGTGTGGTCTCACGAGTCCTCCAAAAGAGCTTTAGAGATCAGTGGCTTGGAAGACTCTGGGGAAGTAAGGACGTCCATTGCTGTATATGGTGCCACATTGATCCATGGCCTCCAGAGTTAGGAAAGTGAAGAATTTGGACCAAGGCTGTCACTTTGGTGATCTTAAATTGAGAATGAGAAGTTCTGAGGCAAGCACAAACGAAAAGGCAACAGAACAAGAGCTATGACAATTTTGGTCATACTCTGATGTGACTTCTGGGGTTAAAGCCCAAGGATGTAAACACAGGAACACTTGATTACAGCGTTAGGCTTTTAGGAGGGGTGGTACTGGGATTGAACTGAGGGCTTTTACACTGAGCTATAGCCTCAGACTTTTTCTGCTTTTGAGATGTGGTCTCACTAAGTCCCTAAATGGACCAAGCCAGGCTCAAATTTGCAGTCCTCCTGCCTCAGCCTCCTAGACTTCTGGGATTACAGCTGTGTGCCACCATGCCTGGTTTATGTTACTGATTTTTATTTAGTTTTTTAGTACCAGGGGTTGAATTCGGGTCCTTGCGCTTGCAAGGCAGGCCACCGAACCACTGAGCTAAATCCCCGGCCCTTATGTTACTGATTTTTAAAAACAACTTGAGGTTAGGGAACTAGTGAAATAAATCATTGTGTTACTTGACAGAATATTAAGTAATCGTAAAGACTACATAGTGACCTGGAAAATGCTTGTCACATTTAGTGAGAGACACAAGATGTGAGGAATGTATTCCACGATTAGAACTATGGGAAAACTCAAGTTCACATTGCTAGGGAAGGAAATGTGCAAAATAACAGCTATTGTATCAATACTTTATCAGACTTTTTCTAGCAGCTGTTATGTTTCTGTGATAAAGCAATGTACATGAACAAAATCTCAGCTGAGCAGGAGGCCTTCTCAGTGTAGCGTCTCCCGAACTCTGGTCACACCTCTGAGCCTCCCTTCCTACCTCATCCATGATGATTTCAGCCAATATTCTTCCTTTCTTTCTGCTCATGGGCAGCCACCCAACCTCATTCTCCTTTGTCTACAAAAATAAGTAGTTTCCTGTATCCTAAAACTAAGAACTTCAAAAACACCTCCTCTGCTTTCATAACATGCTGAAGCCACTATATATATATATATATA